GTCACGAACTACGTTTTGAATTCAGTGTTGCACCGACTTGTACAGCTATTTTTTAAGATTCGTTTAACTGAGATTGATTGTATGTTGTTTTACGTCCCATTCGAGAATTTTTCACTCATATAGAAACGTCACCATATACCGATCACAGAGCGAGCTCTCTACCGACTGAGCTACTGTGACGGTCGTTCAACCGAGAGAAAAATGTTATTTATAGAAATATATTTTGTTGAAAATGATGCATGCAGTTTTTAACTTCATCATATTCTGAACCGAAAAATATTGAACAACTTTTTTTCTAGGACAACCGTCGTAGGGTATATCATTTGTCCAGATAACTCTTACAGTTTTCAAGATGTTTTTATTTTGCTTATCAATTGTACATATTATATCAGAGATGTGCATGGTACTTGGTTTTGATAATTGATCATTTATAAGGAAAATACCATTTGTTGAACTTGGTTTTACTTAGGGTACATTGATTTTGGGATGTCACCTCCTACAGTTTTCAGAATAGGAAGTTGTTTTAATTTTATACAACGATTCCTCACGATAAATTGCTTCTTCAATAAAAATGGAACTCGGAAATTTTCCTACCTTGTGATTGATCATCAACAAAATTACTTTTAAAAAACACCCTGATTTTACAAACAAGTACTCTGAAGTTGATATTAAAAGGATGCTGGAGTTCCTTATTGACAATATATTTGTAGTCTTTGGTAACCAGGTCTTCCAACAAACTGTTGGATTTTCGGTGGACACAAATTGTGCTCCCTTTATTATCTGACCTGTTTTTATATGCTTGTGAAGCAAAATTTATTCAAAAACTTCTCAATAGAAGAAAACACTTGTTGTGGCCTTCAACTTGACATTCAGATATATCGACGACGTTTTATCAATTAATAATTGTTACTTGAAATAAAAGACAACACAGTTTGTCACATCCGTTTCATATTTGGATGATTAACTGACTATAGACGATTGATTGATTGTATGTTGTTTTACGTCCCGTTCGAGAATTTTTCACTCATATAGAGAGACGTCACCATATACCGGTGAAAGGCTTCAAATTTAGACCTTTACTCGGCACTCGGGGCCATTGAGCAGTGAGGGTTCTTTGTCGTGCCAACGCCTACCGTGACACAGGACCTCTGTTTTTAAGGTCTCCTCCGAAGGACAGTTGCTGTACCTATTTTTTTCGACTTAGGTCAGTCGCGGCCGTGATTAGAACACACGACCTTCTGATCAGGGAGCGAGTTCTCTACCGAATGAGCTACCGTAACGGTTGACTATAGACGATAAGGGTCAAATAACAACAAAATTGTATGACAAACGAGATGACTTCAGCTTTTCCATCGCCAGATTTCCTGATTTATATAGTAATATTCCGCTATCACCTGGTGTTTATGTCTCCCAACTTGCACGATACTCAAGAGGATGTTCTGAGTACGATCAGTTTTTAAATCGAGGCAGACTACTGACTGATAAGTTGATGTTACAGGGATATCAACAACCACGTTTAAAATCAGGGTTCCTAAATTCTATGGTCGTTATAATGACCTTGTTTAAATGATTGATTGATTGTATGTTGTTTTACGTTCCGTTCGAGAATTTTTCACTCATATAGAGAGACGTCACCATATATCGGTGGAGGGCTGCAAATTTATACCTTTACTCGGCACTCAGGGCCATTGAGCAGTGAAGGTTCTTTATCGTGCCAACGCCTACCGTGACACGGGACTTCTGTTTTTAAGGTCTCACCCGAAGGAACCGTGTTACAAATATAATTTATCATTGGGTCGTACTTTGGCTGACGTGTTTCATACCAATAGTAAGGCCTTTGTTTTTATACTAAATTTGACTACTGAATGTTCCGTCTATCTGATCAATACATAGGGCTGGTGTGACCGATCAACTGGGGACGCTTACCCCTCTTAGACACCCGATCTCTCCTCTGCAATTTCCGGGGGTCCGTGTTTTATGCCCTGTTCACAGATTTGTATTGTTTTTAGATTTTTTAAGATTGATCACTGTTCGTTATCTTCACGTTTTTCATCATGTTAGAAACACCAGTACTGTTCATACAAAAGGAAATCCGCTTTACTGTCACATTGACAGCTTTCCCCTTGTATTAGTATCAAACTTGTGCTTACTTCTAGATGTTTAAAATGAAAGCAACAGAAATATACTATAAAGCTACAAGCAATGAAATGCATTTTGATTTAGTTTTATTTTATAACTGCTATTATAGGTTTATGTGTCTTTCAAACTAGATTATTATGACACGCCTTTTTGTTTTCTTACAATTGTTGCAAGATCACAGTTTAGAATTTAATATGTTAGTAGATTGTGTCGACATTTTCATTTAGCCACAGAAAGAACACTGAACATTTGTCGTATTTCTGTCATTATTTAGAGGTAGATTTAATGTAACGAGGTAGTTTTCAAATTGGTTATGTATCTCGGCAATTTTTAGGAACCTTCTGTTAATTTCCTTTGTATTAATGTGTTCGTGTTAAATGTGTATATGTATGTTAGCCAAAATGTTTTTGCTATAATAAGTTATCTTTTAAATTTTAATGTCAGCATTTACTTTGATAATGAAATTCATTTTGTGACAATGTGATTAGATTTAAACATGGCATCAGTTCGATGATATAATTCATTTTTGTATTTTTTGTAAATCGGACAAGTTGTTATATGTTAGCGTTTATTCACGTCGTGTGGAAGTGAGTGTTCGGGAAGTTTTCACGAGTAAGAGTCATGTCCTTTACTAGCACTATGAGTGAAAAATATTATTTGCTAAACTATCGATGTAGCAGAGTTTTGGATCTAGCTATACTCCACCGAACGTGATTGAAGTCACCTTAGCGCCGTCAGAGAACGAGTAACCACACACGTAAACTCTGGAAGGCGTGTCTACCACACACGTACAGTGTATGTCTAAACTTCTCTTTTGTTCTTGTGAGCTAAATCAGCAAATGAATGAATTTTAAGTAAAAATTTTCAAAAATATACCATTATTCATGCTCAGTTTTGATATTTTCTTGTAAGAACGAAGGGAAAAAAGTTACAATCTTAACAAACTCTAACAAATGTCAATCTTTAGATAATAATTTCATTGTATGTGTAATTGAATATTTGCAGTATGAAATACTAGAGAAGTCAAAGCTTTGATCATAGAAACTGATGTTAAGACTGAGTTTATTCTTACTTTAGTACCCTCTGCTTGAAAAAACGGAACAATAGATCGAGATAAAATCCATAAGTTATATGTAATGACAGATAAAACCTATTTTATGATAACATTATTGATAAGAACATACCTTCGGCTTGTTTCCGGTTATATTTAAATGAGTTGAAGGATTAAGTGTGTGTGATTTACACCTTTGTAAGTTATTTTCACGTTTCGATTTTTAAAAAAAGTAATTACGTCAATATCCTCTTGTTATTCCAGGTTAATTTAGTATAACTTTCGATTATTTGAATTCACTGAATGAGAGAAAAATCGCGGTGTTAACTTAATTGTTTGACTGACGTGCCAGACAGGAAGTGGCCCCTATAAGATCATATGGAGCTGTCTGAACACACGTTGTCTTTGTATTCATTTGAATACACGTGGTCTCAGACGTTAATGGAATTTCTTGTTTCAGTGTTTTAGGAATAATTAGTTTGAATTTATTAATGACTACTTTCTGGTAAGCTTTTTTTAGAATATACATTTAGAGTGTAGAATAAGTATTACCGCATCAATGTTTATTTTTGATGATACGAATTGTTTACCGGATTAACAAAAGGAAGGATGGTTTGAAAACTCAAAACATGATTTATTTTGATGCATAAAACATTGATATAGTCAATTATCCCCTTTTTATTTGATAACCACATAAAATGAGACTTTAAAGTCATTTTGACAGAATATATAAGATGTTTTATTTTATTTAGATATTAATCGTAGCTTGGCACATGAGCGTAAGATTTTGTTCACCTTTTTAATTTCATTCTCTCTCTCTCTCTCTCTCTCTCTCTCTCTCTCTCTCTCTCTCTCTCTCTCTCAGTGCCAGACACCCAAATGTCCTCTTTAAAAGGAAGTTTAAAGATTGAGGTAACAGAGTTTTAATGTCATTTTCCGGTTATATTGTATCTTACTTCAAAATATGTGTCAACAAACACCACAATTTGGGTTAATGTGTGAAGGTCGTGTTTTGGAAATTAACAGTCGTTGACTAGTATTTCTTTGAATTTTTTGTGTTGCTGTTATTTTTTTTTTTAAACACTATTATGTCATAATAATTTTATCCTAGTGGGAGGTATTGTTTTTAAGTCATTGTGTTTTTTTTTCTTCAGAGAGCAAGCTAACGCTAATACCGAATGTAACTTATTACAGAAGTTTCATTATTTCATTTTTCGTTGAACATCAATTTTTGTTGAATGTTTTCGTGATATATGTTTTTTATTATTATATGATTCCTTTTCATTAATTAAGCCAGACCACTGAATTAGTGACCAACAAACCAATAATATGGATGATAGAATAAGACAAGCGTTACATATCTTAATTAAAGTTAACATATCAACGTTTTGTATTTTTGCCAAAAAACCCACAAAATTTGATTCCTGCAAAAATTAACAAAATGACAATATATAATGATCAATAATGGAGATTGCAATGCTTTGATTTTTAACCTCCTCTTTGATTTGTGGAAGTTGATTTCATTGTTAAGAGAGATATTCGGCCAATGGTTATATTCTAGTACCTGTATCAATGATATTTGTGCTTGTTTGATAAGATATATCATAAATTACCCGTTATAAGCTTGATCATCTGTTTCTGAACACGACGAAGGAAGGATTTTAATCTATATTTACGTTTTACACAGGATGTAAGTTTTAGTGTTATCTGTTGGCCTTCAATCAAATATACAAGTGTATTTTCAAACTAGGACATCACTTGATTCATCTAACAAGTAGGTCATTGGACATTTGACATTTTTTTCTTTCAGGTTTTCCAGTATGACCGTTGACTCGGAGGACGTGTACAAGAAAACAGGATGGGGTAGATGGCAGTATTTAATATTATTTGTTTGTTCTTTACTTTTCTTCGGGGTCGGAATTGGTATAGGTTATGGCATTGGTCGAAACCAATCAGAGCAAACAATTCCACAAGCAGGGGTCACTGCTCCAGAAACAGCAACAGATCCACCCAGGTAATTAATTACTGAGGGTTTAAAAACTGTGAAACTTTTGAACATTCCATAAACACTTTACTTGACTTTTTAAAATAATTGACTTACCCAAGTTATAATTATTTTTTGTTCAATATGCGAGTGTATGTATATTTTTTTAATAAAATAAAACAATATCTATATGGATGATAAATATAAAATGCCCTTATTTTACCTGAATAAATACTTATATTTTATGTGTATATCTATTGACACGCAGTGGTCTTGTTTTGTGATACTAGCTTGATTGTTATATAGTGTCTCGACTAACATACTCAGTTTTTCTCTCTCTAAAATACGGTTGTCAGAGGATGCTCACTCCTCCATGGCACCTGATCCCACCTCTGATGATTTTGGAGGTCCGTTATTGCTCTGCCCCCGATTTTTATTGTCTAAATGCACTTTAAGCTTGGGTGCTGTTCGTTATCTCCATATTTCATTTATACATGAAATGGCACAAGACGTTTCCTGATGGCTGATTTAAGTTTAATTTTTTTATAAGGCTTCTTAAAGAAGATAGCGTTAATATTTCATTAATTTTCAATGGACCTTTAACTGTGTCTTTGGCATTTTGTCGTATTCGCCACTTAACATTTCCTGAGTCGTGGGAGACTTAGAAAATGCCAAGCTGCACGAGGGAGATTTTCAAAAAAAAATATTAATGTCCAATTAAACTTTACAAACCATTAAGATTTACTGACTTACATGTTTCAATGATGCGATTCACTAAACTTCTTGTATTTTTGCTTCTCTAACTTCGTAGAAGTGTTTGCAGCCACTTTTCATGATGTTGGTTGTATAAAGTGACATGCCGACGTTGAAGCAAGTCAAATTTGGAGACTTCAACGAAAATATAGTCTTTTTAATCATAATTCTTGATTTCATCTTTCTTTTCTGTCTGTCTGTTGAAATTTAAATTCATTTTGGCAACTCCCATTCATCCTTCGATTTTCAGATCTGTGTTGAAAATTAAGTAAATCTGTTGGTTATATAAAGATTATACAACTATATATTGGTTCAAGGACGTATTGAATGAATATTGTCACTGATATATTAAGAGAACTCATTTAGAAAGAATATCAATTGTAATGATATTTCAAGACAAAGCTGCAGTTTGCCGAAACTCTTGACGTAATGCCAACTACTAAGTTTTAAAAGATTGATTGATTGTATATTGTTTTACGTCCCATTCGAGAATTTTTCACTCATATAGAGACGTCACCATATACCGGTGAAGGGCTTCAAATTTTGACCTTTACTCGGCACTCAGGGCCATTGAGCAGTGAGGGATCTTTATCGTGCCAACGCCTGCCGTGATACGGGGCCTCGGTTTTTAAGGTCTCATCCGAAGGACCTGCAACTTTCACTTCAAAGTGCCGAGCGCATGGCGAAGGAACAGTTGCTACCTATTTTTTATCGACTTAGGTCTATCGCGGCCGAGATTCGAACTCACGACCTCCCGATCACGGAGCGAGCGCTCAGTTTTAAAAGAAGTCTACAAATTATCAACATAATGTTTATGAAAAATATGTAAAATTATCAGCGATAATGTAATGCAAAAACGTTATCAAATCTCAGTCTTTATAGTTGATATATCTAATAGTTTCTATAAATGTACCTTAGACCGACACTATGAAATGTGTAAATGAACTCCTCGTTTTATTATTTTCTGAAGGTCTTCAAATCCAGTGGAAACCATTTTAAGCCATATTAACAAAGAAAATATCAAACAAAATCTAAGGTAATTAACAAAGTAGTTAGAATGAGGTAAGCTTTTAATATTTTATTTCCGTTTACAAGGCATATCATGTAAAATAATCTGAAAACGACTTCCGTTCATTATCTTAGTTAAAGAGATAAAGAAAAAAGATACAGTTTTTTCATCTTGGCTTTGTAAATAGATTCTGAATCAACACATACAAGTACAGTACTACAAGGATAAAAGGACTCTTTTTCCTCATAGAATTGTTATCTGTGTATAAAAATATGAAAGACGAATTCAAAAAGTCTTTCTATTTTCGTTAATTTACAGAATTCGAATGTATAGAAGTGCATGAATATTTTCTATTTTTGTCAAAAATTGTGTTTCAACTTTTTAAGTTTTTGCAAAATTGTTTAAACTTTTGGGGGAAAAACAAATTAGAATTTTATTTAGTAAATTGTTATTGTTAAAGTGAAAACGTACAATTGCTGAATATAAAGTCAGTTTAACTCTTTGTTTCTGGAAAAAGAAAATACACAAGCCGTCCGCGCATGTCCGGAACACCTGGAGGAGATGAGTTGGTGCAGATATTGCATGACACTTGGAAATCTTACGGTATTGATGAGGTCAAAGTAACACCATATGACGTATTGATGTCCTATCCTAATAAAACAAATCCAAATAGGGTATGACTAGTTTTTTTTAAAGACCGACAACACAGATTTGTATCATTTCCGTGAAAAATGAAGACATATCTAATCACCTTTTTTTGATGTTCAAAGTTTCTGTAATTCAATTTCAGGTACAACTTCTGACGTTATCAAATGAGTTAGTTTTTCAGTCTGCTTTGTTTGAACCAGCTTTAGACGATCTGAGTAACAATTCCGAAATCATTCCACCATTCAATGCCTTCGCTGCGGCTGGTATTAGTGAGGTAAAAACGATATTAAACTTAACCTAAATGTTGCAAGTATTTTCCAATAATGTTATACAATAAAAGGAGACCAAAACCCTTTCCTTTAAGTATACCCTTAGTTCATTTTATAAGGCATCCATATCTAGGATTAATACGATGTATTATGTGTTCGTGTGCCTCTTCTAGTATATAATTTGACTCAATAAAGTTAATTTAAAAAATATTAACACACAACACAAAGCCACTAAGTACTTTTATTGTGAAGTGGTCTATGATCAAATGGTCATTCCCAGAAAGTTTGAGTATGATTGGTAAACTGTATGAATAGGTCCTTGATCTGTCCCTTTTTTTATTAGCAGCATATATGACTGTCTAAATTTTATTCTATTTGTTACCAAAAAAATGAGGAAACAAAGTATCACAGATTGAGTCATCTATGTTTGTTTGTATAACTCGTATAATACTAATAAATTTGCTCTTTTTTGCAGTAAGAAAACATTGTATATGTACTTTGTAGCTTTGAATAATTTTGAGATAATGAATCTAGGAAGATCTAATAAGTCCAATGGTTATAATTTCAATTTGTTTATTAGGTAAACATCCAAGATATATTAGATATTGATAAAATGTTTTTACTTTGCTCTAAAGGGTGAACTGGTGTATGTAAACTACGGCAGGATAAAAGATTTCCTCTATCTTATAAACAATAAGTCCATGGATCTGAAAGGCAAAACAATGATCGCACGATACGGGAAGATCTTCCGAGGTGACAAGGTACGCTTCGCACATGCGCTTTATTGCCAATTATCGTGAAGCTGATTTAAGATTTCCTCTTGCCCCCTCAGTGCTCTGGGGTGGTCAGGAGCATTTACTGCTCATTATTATATTTAGCTTGCTGTAGTAATTAAGAAACAGGAGGAGGAGGGGGTGGGGTCATCACAACTTTATGCTCTTGAGTCATCAAGTCATCATCCGGCAAAGAGTATATAGATTAATCCACTTGGAAGTTAGTGCATGAGGTGTCAATTATCTTTTATTGAGCCTCTCTTAAGATGTATGAATATGAAATCAAATTATGCGTGTCTTAAGAACTTTGCACTAGTTTTTCTTGATATTTCATATTTCCTCCCACGTGCACAATTTGGAATTGAATCCTAATTTCATGAAATTTTACGTTATAAATTAAATGTGTTTCTAATATTCAATTTGCAAGACTTATTCCTGTATAATCTATAAAACAATGTGTTGCAATATTCGGTGTATTACATAATTACATACATATCATAAGAGGTCTTGTTTCTTTTTGAAGTGTTAGGTTATCCCTCAATGAGGAAAATAAAACCCTAAAAAACGTTGCTGTCGTCAGTGAATGATTTATTAGGAAAAAAGTTATAATTAAAACATGGAAAAAAAATACTGTTGGATGACACTCCTAACAAGTTATCTGAAACCATTAGAAACTATTAGTGTATGGATTTCTCAAGTTCATCTGTATTGATGAAAATAGAACACCTTAATGGAAATCCATCTGCGTGATAATAAAGCATTATTGTAGACATTAGAAACTCATTACAAAATTCAATCTGCTCTGTCGCAAAAACTACACTATCTTAGTTAGTATTAAAAAATATTAAATTTTTGTGCTTTCAGTAGCAAGTTGAGATGATTTTTTTTATCTATACTGCAAGTGAATTTGAAAAGAAATTCTGAATTACAATGCACCCACCATCTTACACTCATGAGTAAACGTATGTTTTTTAAGTGGAAAATGGTATTTTCTCTCTATTCATGACGATATTTAAACAGAATGAAATTCAATAATTTAGTAACCATACTGAGAAAACTTTAAAGACAAATATTTGTTGAAAGATAAAAAGTTATATAGTGACCTATCATTTGTAATTATTCTATCTTAGCGGAAAGTTATTAATTCCGTCTTGTCATTAGAACGAAGATTCTGAAAAATTACAAAAAAAACCCATCTTTTTTAAAAGTACCATGATTACAGTAGATATTAAAAGTAAATCATGGATTTCCCTCAGGTCTCTACATGTGCATCTTCTGTCTTTTTATTTAAGAAATAAGGTATCATTTTTAAACATCTATCGGGATATAAATACGGGTTGGTCACGAGATCAAATTCCATAAAGCCCGAAGGGCTTTATGGTAAATTTGATCTCGTACCAACCCGTATTTATATCCCGATAGATGTTTTAAAATGATACCTTATTACTTATATTTACATTTGTGACTTATTCTTATTATTTATTAGCCTGATTATAACCTTTAACGCGTGAAATGTTTTATTTTTTCAAACTCAACGGCACGAGTTTGATCTATTGATTGCGCGTTGACCCTTTATGACGTCACTGAGAAATTACGTCGAACGTTTATGACGCGAGGAACCCGTGTTTATACGGATATAGATACATGTACGCGTTGCTTTTAATAGTGTTATATAAAGGAAAACATTTGCAAATGTAAATATTACAATGTATGCATATATAAGATCGTAAATATGTACACGAATTTTCACATGGCGATGAATCCTTAGTAGTTCAGGGTGGTCTCGATAAAAGCTCAGTTCACCTCGTTACTGTTATCAGTCTCACAGTAGCTAGTGCGAGGCAATGTCAGTAGCTCTCAGAGGTATATCCTAAACGATACAGGTTTAAAATTAAATACTTTTTATTAATAACAATACTAATCAACTTTATATAGGCACTACTTTATTATGTATGGTATTTGTGATTGAACATTTTCATTATGTACTTTCAGGGGGAGGGGGCTGAATAGCTGTTCATATTTTGAATTTCTTATGTAGTTTGAAATTCAAATAATCCCCAAAATTTCGAAATTTGTGGCAGAAGTGTTTTTGTCATAAAAGCGATTTATATCTCGGATATTCCTTTGCATTTAAACCTCACATGAAATTTTAAAAAATGAACATATATTCAGCCATCCCTCCCTGAAAAAAAGAACCAAAACATAATAAAAAGGGTTTATAGGGGAGACCATAAAAAGAACCAAAAACATAAAACGTGTTTATAGGGAGACTTTATTCGTAATTAAACAGCGTTTATATAATAAAAAAAGCTAAGTAGAGTAATTTATTTTAAAACCTGTACAATTTAATTTCCAATCAAGGCATTACTGACATTACCTTGAGCCTCTTACTGGAATATCAGTGATAATTGAAAATATTGACTCTAGCTACCTCAATTTTACACTGGTAAGGATTTCTTGACATGTTTTTGAAATCAAATGTGAAAAATATGTCTGTCTCCATCTTAATTTAAAGTCATAATAAATATAATCATTCGGTATTAAATTTAAGGTGAAGAATGCGCAGCGTTTTAACGCCTCAGGGATTATTATGTATACAGACCCGTTCGATTTTAACAGAGGAAACAGTACTTACCCAGATTCCTGGTGGATGCCACCCTCTGGACTCCAGAGGGGGACAGTGGGACCAGACGGAGACCAGTTGACCCCTCTCTACCCGGCAACTGGTGAGAATCTAACATGAAACACATAAAAAAACATAAAAAAATTAATACATGTACCTTTAAATTTAATTTGATGGGCGATTCATGGTTAATATTTTAATGAATTCTATTTTACGAAGAGTTTAAAATCCAAGTTTGAATTGTTTTCAATTTAAATTTGAAATAAAAAAAAACAACAAACAAACAAAACAAAATAAACAAACAAACAAAAGCTAAAAAAACAAAACAAAACAAATTTGATACTGAAAAAATGAATCTGTGTTTTTAATTATTAAAGTAGTCTTAGAATTTATTTATTTATTATACAGACTATGCATACAGAAAGGAACAGTCAGATACAGAAAACTTTAGAATTCCAGCACAACCTATAAGTTATGGAGATGCTCTTCCACTACTGAGGTAAATTCCATTAAACTTACACAATGATTTCCAGAAAGTAATCAGAATATATTAGTGCGAATGTGCAGTTTATTCTAAACCACTGTTCAATAACTTTGTTGTAAGCTCAGCTTCGGTATCTGAACACGGATATCTCGAATACCATGGTTATGTCAAAGTGATTTGGAGTCCTAAACACTTTCTAAAAAGTATTTTACCTTCATTTTTTATCTGCGTTATCTAGTGTTGTTTTTCAAAATATTTGAAAGAACGCTGACTGACAAGACATGACATCATTTTAGTCTCATTGCTTTATCCAACTTGGAAAAAAAATGGGTGCGTTATATTGAATTAACTTGACACCAGTAGTGATGCTATTGAGGAAAAGGCTGGGCAAACGTAAATAGCTGTAGAATATAAAAATTGAATGAATACCTCATTAGGTGTCAACCTTATGCAACATCAGTCCTCTGAATTCAATTAAAATTTGATGTAATGAAAAAAAAAATCTCCGATGTTTATTTTTGTTCTTAATGTAACTGAGGAGTCTCTGTGTTTAATTCTCTGCATACTTCGTCCTTTTGATTGATTTCTTCTCATACATGTATTCGTTTTTATCTGTCCAATGCCTATTTTTTCATCTTCTCAAACAATCCTTATTTTATTTCCTTATTTTGCATTCTTTTATTATTCTGGATCGTGTTACTCTAGGTTGTCTAATATTCGCCATACGTTAACTCTGCAATCCCTTTATTTGTGTACTATCCTTGCAAATCTTCAACGAAACGTTTCTGAGGCATTCTTTCCTTTCATTTTCTGTGTCATCTTTAATGAATTCAAGTTGAATCATCTTCAACAATTTATCCTCTCTCGTGCTTTGTGGAGACATTTGATGGGTACACGGCAGTCTATTATTGTAGTTCAAGTATTTCCGCTATTTGCTTGTTGACTATAATCTCTTGTTCATGTAGATACAATCTACTTTAGACACTCAAACGAAGGTCAAGATGAAAGTTAATTGTGTTTACTTTGTAACTCACTTTACAAATATTTGATCATGGTCTCAGGACCATTTAATCAATAAATTGTGAGCAGAGCCAACGCTGACCTCTTAAAACAGAGATGGGGTCAGGTGCCATGGAGGAGTAAGCATCTCCTGTCGACTGCTTACAACCGCTGTGTGCTCCTTGTCATGATCAGCGAACGGAAAAATCCGTAGACAATTCAGTTTGAAAATAATTGCCTAATAATTAAATGTTTGGGTTATCGACACTATAGAAATTTACTTGATTTTCAAAATAGTTATGATTTTCTATAATACAGAAAGCATTAACTGAATTTTTATATTTACTATTTATTCACTATCGTTTTTCTTTTATAGCATTCACCTGTATTGAACGTTTTGCTCTTTATGTCAATAAAGAGTTACCCTCACACAAAAGTGAAAAAAAAACTTTATGTACAATAAAACAACAACTCTTAAGGAGAGGTGACAAAACCCAAAAAAAATGGATGTCTGAGTTGATATATTTTTTGGACCTATTTTGATTTTAAATAATGCAAATATTAAATTCCTAAAATATAAAGAAATTGAAAACTTTCTATGATGTTCAAATTCTACCTTCTTGTCGTCACCCCTATAAATCTCTACAACTTTTTATCACTTTGTAGGACATTATTGTGAAACCTTGAATGAAAATATTTTTGGTTAGAATTATTCATTTTACTTATATATACATAGTTGTAATTTTCGTGATTTTTGGAAAAAAGTTTTTTTTGCATATCTGTCCTCAAGGTCTTTTAAGAAATTCTTTGGTAAATGAATGCATAATTTCTTGCATTATTGATTATTTCATGACGTGACGATTATTTTATTTATAGAGAAATGGCTGGGGAAGAGGTGCCCCCAGATTGGAGAGGAGCCCTTCCTATATCGTATAGATTAGGGCCAGGATTCAGGAATTCTAGTCTGTAAGTTCTAAACTCAGTGGCACGAGATTCATGAATTTTTTTTCTTATACTTTGAATTCCATAGCCCTAATGTTCAGAACACCAATAAATTGAAAATTGCAAAGTGCTGGAATCACATGCATTTTAAGTTGTAATACTGAAAGTAAAAGTATGTTTTCATTAAATTCATTCGTAAACATGTAGATTTCATCACTTTAATTCATCTGGTATTTAATGTAAATAGAAAAATATTTATTGATTACAACTGAAATAAAATAAGATACTAGTATATTATATAGTTTTTATCTTTTTTTTATCTTCCTCTCACACAAAATACGAGAAAAATAGAGTATATCATTCAAGTATGCTGTGTAACTGTATATTTCCGACTGCTTTCTTATAATGTAATGTTTTACTGATGAATATTTTTATTGTAGGAAAATTCGTGTAGAGGTGAATAACTTTGAAGAGAGAAGAATAGTTGAAAATGTTATTGGGTACATCAAAGGCCAAACGGAACCAGGTCACACATCTGTTTTATTTACCACCTCTAACCAATCCATGGGCGTAGTCACAGGAGGGCAGCACTTTTCAGATATTGGGGGGGGGGGGCAAGAGTATGCCTTTGCCCCCACTTAATGTAGAACAAAATCACAGCTATGTTGAAATTATAGTAAACCTCATTTTATGGCAAATTTATTTTATTTTCAGCAACAACTGAGTAAGCATTTCTCTTGAAGTAATAGTAATGTAATATACTTTAGAATATATCCTAGCCGAATCTCCTCAAGATTAGTAATTTCTACAAGATAGCTGCAGTATTTGAGATTCTGATTTCGATATACCTGTGATGAATGTCAATCAATTTTAAGTGCACTATTTGAAGTCCTCTCATTCAACTTAGACAGGGGCTTGATATGACATGTTTTACATCTTAATCATGGTCGTAGGAATCGGGGGGGGGGGGGGGGGTGTTTTGCCTATATAATGAATACTATAGAAAACAAAGCTACTGTATGATTGTGTCCCCTCAATAATAACGTCTGATGACCTTTTTTTTCTTTTTTCTTTTTTTTTTTTTTTTTTTGGCTTGTCAAGGAATTTTGGTAGTTGATAGTGTCCCCCCAACTGAAAATATATGGTTGTGCCCACTCAAAGTGAAATTGCTTCCTACGGGCCTGTTAATTTCTTTATATTATGCATTTTACATCTTTCTTGGATTTGATATGTTTGTAAATATAAAACATGCAACATCATATTCACCAAATATACTTGTCTTTTTTTCAATTTTCTACAATGATAAGATATCTAACGTTACGTTTTACACTCAATAATTTTGAAATTTATATAAAATGTTTCATATTTACTAAATTGTTATTAATTACCTTTACAGACAGGTATATTTTACTTGGTAACCATCACGATGCGTGGGTGTTTGGTGCTATTGATCCACTCTCAGGAACTGCCGTTCTGACGGAACTTATTCGGGTATTTGGAGAGATGCTAAAATCTGGTAGCGTAATTTTGTACAATTTTAAAGTACAATGCCATATGGCATCTTTTTATATTTGCTTGGAGTCTGAAAATAAAAATCCAAGATATTCAAACATCCAACATATATTTTTTTTTATATTAAGCTGTATTTGTGATGTCAAATATATCATAAAAATGATGACTTAAAAATTAATCCATCACATGCAAAGAAAACTCATACGTTTTATAAAGAGTGTGACAATTATCAAAAAAAAATCTTGAGAATGGAAGTGAGATACAGTTATTTGGACATTAGTTTAATTAGAGGATCGGTACCAATACACGTTGTAATGAAGTTAATTTTTATTTATAAAGCAAGTTTTACAAAAACTCTTAAACTAACATAACTGCCCTAAGAGAAGAAATATTAATATAGAAAGCACAAAGAAATTCACTTTTATAAGGATAACCACTTCCGCCCCAGCCCGGGGTTGAACTCTCAACCTCCGCGAGAATTCCATCGGCATCGAAAGCAAGTTTTTTGACTTTCCTAGATAGCCGAGCGGTCTAGCGCGCTGTTCCTGTACTGCTAGGAGACAGATTCCGTAGGTCGAGAGTTCAATACTAGGCTGGAGCGGAAGTGGGTATCCTTATAAAAGTGAATTTCTTTGTGCTTTCTAGATATATACAGGGTGTTTCATAATATATGTTACATTTTCAAATCTAATTATATTTCTTACCTATCATATTTCTATTAAAAACTATATATCATTTTAAACATCAAATCTTGCATTTTTGTTCCATGTGAAAATGTCAAGGAAATCGTGATATTACAATGATAAATTGTGACGTAATCGCCGATGTCATAACTTGATTATTTTTCGAAATTGACTTACCGTATATACTGCCTATAAGTCGCTTTTTGGGGAGTTAAATTTTGGTCCAAAACTCTGTGTCCGACTTATAGGCGGGTCATAAAACGATTGGTATTTTTCTGGACGATAAAAGGTTGTGTTTTATAAACAATACCGCGCACTTTCTTTGAACAAAGTCTTTATATGTTATATCATTTATGTATTCTAAGATTATGTATAAAGTAAACAAGTATTTATAAATTTTATTATACGGTATCAACATACTGCTGAATTGTAAAGCTCTTTTTTCAATTCATGTCGCCAATATTCAGAAACAGATGAAGGAAATATTACAACAAAAGAATGGAAGCTTTTTAGGATGCTTATCAGAAGGCTAGTAACAAGGTTAAAAACAGGGATGGGTAATATGCAAAAAATGACATGGTTCTCCAGAGAGCCTAAGGACTTCAAGAAACGAAGATTTAATTGGGAACTGGAGACTCTTAGATAGTTTAGCAAACTCCTTAGAAAAGAGTCAGATGGATGTTTTCAGCTGGCAATATCAGCATTGCCAGCATATATTGAACTTTGAAATATGATATAAAGTTATAAGCGTACAAATTTTTAATAATGCAATACCCCAAGAAAAGAGTTTGATATCTGCATTCACCAATCTCAATCTTTGGGCCTTTTTCTGTAGGGGTTCTTTAGAAACAGGGTGTACAATCTTAGACCACAGATACTGAATGAGCTCCAAAAACCCCATAAACCTTCAAATAAGGAGGTCTTAAAAATATGTGTGACAAGTTATACAAATTCTGAGAAGCAATTTTTATTTGTAGTTGAAATGGTTACATTACGAACATGTAATTTGGGTTTTTGACGTTGTGAAATTCAACGTAACAAAATGGCGTTATTTAGAAATTTCACTAATTTTCATTAATGTTTGAGATTTCGTCCAGTGTTTAATATTTTGGTTGGTAATTATACATAATGAATCTTATGGACACATGCCTCAAATTGATAAAAACACTTGTCTGTATCTTTTTCTTGTGTTTTTCTAATTGAAGATTCAAAATGTAACATATTATGAAACACCCTGTATATATATATATATATATATATATATATATATATATATATATATATATATAGAAAGCACAAAGAAATTCACTTTTATAAGGATACCTACTTCCGCCCCAGCCCGGGGTTGAACTCTCGACCTACGGAATCTGTCTCCTAGCAGTACAGGAACAGCGCGCTAGACCGCTCGGCTATCTAGGCAAGTCAAAAAACTTGCTTTCGATGCCGATGGAATTCTCGCGGCGCTGTCCTACACTACACGGTCATTGAGAATGGAAGTGAGATACAGTTATTGGACAGTTATTTTGTGCTTTCTGTATTAATATTTCTTCACTTAGGGCAGTTATGTTAGTTTAAGAGTTGTTGTAAAATGTGCTTTATATATATATATATATATATATATATATATATATATATATATATATATATATATATATATATATATATATATAAAGGTACTCGACCTGACCGCACCATTGTGTTCTGTGCCTGGGGAGCGGAGGAACATGGTTTAATAGGATCAACCGAATGGGTTGAGGTACGAACGGTAACTTGTAAATCATGAAACATGCAGGAGTTTTGTTTCTTGCATGATTTTTATTTTTGTATCGGCGTCAAGAAAGTTAGTGCAAAGATGATTACATTTGATAAACACCATATCGTCTGTTTCCATATAGCGACTGTTTGCATGTAGTTTTTTTTTTTTTCACACAGATATTACCATCTTAAGTGAACTATTATTTTTTAAGGTTTTTTTTTAAATACAATATCTATATTTCTGAAGAAGGATAATTGAGAAATTCATTGATTGATTGTTTATTGCTTTACACCAAGTTAGCAGGCATTTCAAATTGTAAATAAATGGGATAGGTCGTGTAGATTTATCCTTATCCTAGCTCCTAGTCTAAAAGTTGGGCACTCTAAGGGTGTGTCAAAACTTTTACATAGGAATATGTATAGAAAGCATCAGATGAAGATTTCCAGGTCCATTAATATTCAAATTGAAACGTAAACATCCCCTGTATTACAGATTCACGTTTGTTCAAATTTTAGCCTTCAGGACTTGAGAAGGGCTCCCAACAGAGAACAAAGTTTTTACACAAAAATGTCCACAAGAATAACAAGGCTATAATTAATAAAACTATAAATAGCCTAATGTTTACCTTAGTAAATATGTCCATGTACACTGTAGTTGAGAAAATCACCAGAAGTTCGATGTATATATGCATAATGAAATGTTGTCATTGCTTGTAGGAGTACATGAAAGTGCTGTATGAGCGTGCCGTTGCCTACCTGAATGTTGACTATGCAGTAGATTACAGTTATGTCTTAACTGCTGGAACCAGTCCACTGCTGCAGGATTCTCTGTATGAAGCTACTAAACTAGTACGTGTACATGTTAGTCCTGGTATTTCATTGTGGTTCTATTGTTTTCCTATGAAATCAAGGAATCTCTAAACAAGGTCAAATATCATTAAAAAAGAATAAACAGAAGTCTAAAGTAAATGAAACAATTTAGAATAGATTTAAGTATTTTTAACATCATATTAGGTCAAGGTAAAGTACTTAAAAACGTTATTGGCATGTTTTCCCCAACGTACATGTAAGTTTCATCTCCATAAAGCTTCCTTAACATAAAACGTTTTATTTGCGTCAATATATCAATCATATTTAAGAATTGATAAATATATCTCAAGGTTCCTAATCCAGAAAGTAATAGTCCGGATAAAACCGTGTATGATGCTTGGAAAACAAGAGATGGTTCGAATGATGTGGAACCAAGGTATGAAATTTCAAAAGAAAATGCATACTTTCCTGTCTCAAAAAATATACTGATATAAAAGTGTTCTGTGCAATTTTTATCAATCTGATAAAGGAAAATGGAGTGTATAACATTTTCAGGGAAAGTGTCTGTATTTAAGGTTTATAATGAAGTTCGTTTTGGTGAATTTATTCTTAGAATTCCACCGTTTTGAATTTTTTTCTGAGGCAAAAGCTTAAGAAGGCCTTTCTGATATGAATGAATTTCGAACTGTTTATCTGTAAAGTATTCTGTTGAGTGTTCATTTGTTAACGTTTCATATTTCCGAGTTTTTTCTTCCCCAGAAACACTGGACACTTTTCAAATATACAAATAAACCTGACGCAAATGATCCTTGTTTAAAGCAAATTCAAAGTTTCTTTAAATTAAGGGATATGTCCTTTTTTTTCCAAGAAGAGATGTTTGTAGGTTTTCTTTTCCAATAGAAACATCAACTGGCCTTTTCAGTTGAGAAAAAAAATTATGCAAAAGTGAACAAGGCTGAGCGAAATTCTGATTTTGTCCTTTTCAAGAAACCTATGCTAATGCTTGCTTATTGAGTAAATATTACAGTTTATTAAAGTCATGTAATTAGAGACTTGAATTGTTCCAAATTGGGAGTTAAGTGTAGTTAAGTGTAGAAGTAAAATTCATCCTTAAGTGTTTTTAGCGAATAGGCAAAGAAAGGGTCCTTATTGAAGACCAACATTCACACAGATAAATAGGCTCCTCTCAACAGGCCCCAGATTGCTATAAATTTGAATTATTGAAATCATTGACTTCAGTTTGATAGTGACAATAAATTGTTGATAATTATCTTCATCATATCAATAAACACATATCGGGAAACGAAAGGTGACACAGGTGAACATTTTGACTCATTTTACCACCTGTATTGTTTTGTCCAGTATGAAAACAAACTTATTTCAATCGCAGAAAATAATTTTTTTGCTTTTATTGTCAAATAATTTGAAGATTGGTGATATATTTATCTTTTACACAAAAAAAATATTAAAAATAATTTTCAGTAATTTTATACCACGTTAGAATCTTTTATGTGCTTCGTTATTTAAACATCTAGTACTTTGAATAATTTCTGGTTTTTTTTTAAATTTAGCGTATATTATTCCCTGGGATCAGGGAGTGACATGGCCACATTTTATCAAAGAGCTGGAGTACCAAGTGTAGACATGTGGTTTACCTATGATTCGGTGAGCGTTTATAGAGTTGCCATGTTGTAAATTATACATTAACCTCAACTCAGTAAATTCAAAATGTTCAACATGATAGATTCCTTTCAAAACAATGTTTGGTAGAGTTCTATACAGCACAAGTGAATATATGTGAAGTATCTTTTATTTTACTATAATCAAGATTTATTATGCTAAAGCATGTCATATCAAATGAATTTAATATATATATACTATCAATTCTTTTCAGGATAAATGGGATATTCTTTCATATCCTGTATATCATTCTGCATACGAAACAATTTATCTGTACGAGAAGTTTATTGATCCAGATTTCTCATACACGAAATCAATGGCTGGACTGTGGGGCATCCTTGCATGGTAAGAAGAAAATCCACAAAAGTAATCTATTACTCCTATCTGATTCAAGTAGAATGTTTTTTTTACCAATAATTATTACCAATTACTTCCGATGCAACGCAAAATCCATCCTCAACTTCCTTATATAGTAATATTCCACTATCACCTGCATATGTTGATTATGTCTAAAATTTTGTTCGATACTCAAGAGCATGCGTTAAGTGCGAACAAATTTATACCGAGGCAGCAACTGATAAATAAGTTGGTGTTACAGGGATTTCAATTATCTCGTTTAAAGTCAGAATTTCGTAAATTCTATGGTCAATATAATGACCTTGTTTGCAATACAACCTATCATTTGGTCGTATTTTGACTGACGTATTTCATACCAATTGTTAGGACATTGTTTTTATACTGAATATGACTACGGATTATTCTGTCTACCTGATCAATATATAGGGCCCATGGTGGGTGTGACCGGTTGAAAGGGGATGTTTGCTCCTCCTAGGCACCTGATCCCACCTGTAATCTCAAGGGCTCTGTGTTTTACACCCTGTTCATAGATTTGCATCGTTTGTAGGTTTTTTTTTAGATCGATCACATCTCGTTATTTTCACCTCCAAATCTAGGGGTTTTTTTTCAAGTAATGAAATCTGTTAGCCAAGATACTATAAGAATATATTATATATTTAATGCGTTTTTATTCTTTTCAAATTAAGGTTCATTTTTTTTCATGAACAAATGTTAATGTAATGTTAAGTAAGTGGTTACTTAAAAAAGTAAGTTTGGTAGTGGACTTATTTTTAAAAAAAAAAAAACCAAACAACTTTTTTCCTTGCATAAAAGTTTTTGTCCTGCCATTCATCTGAATGTTGTCACATGTAATTAATCAAGGTGAATATGTATATTCATGAAAGCTTTTTCACCAGCATAGTTACTTGTTTAATGTTTTAGTTGACAATGAGGCATACTTTAAAAATATAACAGATATACTTTTATCATTTTTTAACTTGGGTTTCAGTAAAAAAAAAATAGCCAAACTTACGAACCATATGTAGAAATGTTTATTTTTCCCTTGCTTTATTAGTCTTTTATGTAGTAAGATAATTTTCATATCATCTTATTTCAGGAACATTGCCAATGACAAAGTTTTAAAGTATGATGTCAGAAGATATGCCTCAGCAATTAATACATTTATAACAAGTTTAAAGAAAGATTTTGGAGTAAAGTGGTCAAAAGAAAATGTTAACATAGGTAAAAAAAAATATAAACTTGGGAATTTTAGATTTTTTTTTTTAAAAAGGCAGATTTAATTACAGTAATATTTAGAGTTAATGGTTAAGTTACTAAATTTTTTCTGCTTTATGCTGGTAGCTCAACTTTTTATGTAGAATTAATGATAAATATCTCATTAAATGTTTCAAAACAGTGATAATTTAAACTTTACTTGCATGATGATAAATTCCTTAGAAATGCTTGAAATAAGCTCTTCTTATTTAACAGCCGCTCTCGAATCTGCAGCACAGAATTTAACAACGGAAGCAAACAGATTCCATCTAAAACTACAACAGAAATTACACCATAAAAACAAAATAAGGTATTTGATGTTTTAAATTAGTATGCTTTTGACGGAAATAAAATTATACCATGCAAATAGTAGTTACATGAAATTCATTTTTGAATAAAAGAGAAAAATATCTACTTTTTTGATTTGTTGTATATTTCTAAGTCTTGATTTCTACAACAGTGTATTAGAGAGCAGGATGATTAATGATAGGTTGATACAATTTGAGAGAGCTTTCATTGATTGCGAGGGACTTCCAGGCCGCCCAATGTACAAGTAAGTCATTTGAGTAAAATTTACAATGAGAATTAGGCAGGGCTAGTCAAATAGCATTGCCCGACGCCAGGGACAACCTATTTTGTTTGGCGGGAAAGTTTTTTGATAAGTAGTACCTGCCGCGGACAAGTTAACAAAAAATCAAATGTTGTTTGTTTTACTGCTGTTGAAATGTAATGAATCACAGTAGAGCACCTGTTTTCGCCGCTGTTCATCACTACATCGAATACTCGGTCGGAACTCCTCTAGAATTTACCCATTCATGTGTAGTTAAAAAATACACAAGACACAAAACATAACAGCTATCGATTCTATGTCAAAAAAGTTGAAGAGGATTTTAGACCTTTTTAGGTATTGTAAAAATGTAAAATTCATGACGTGAGTACAAACGTTTATACTGATATTAAAATTGGAGCTGTTGACTGGCGATCACAGAAAGTCACGATCGGCATGCAGTGGTGGTTTTCATAATCAAATACTGTATAATATTTTTTTTGTTTTCAAGTAAATAAATACACATTATTTTAAATTAAAAAAAATAGGGAATACCTCATTTAAGAATTTTGAAGAAAATAGACTGATAATTTGACTTTACTAATATTCCGAAAATACAGAAAGAAAGAATCTTAAATGTAAAATTTTACTACTAAAATACTGAACTGTGATCATGTATGCATATTATGCAGGATATGAAATAATCTTTTTTCAGTTGAGAAATTGTAAATTGACAATGTGAACTTTAATTCTAATGCTTGATATTCATATGCCTTGCCATTGGAAATCATCAAATGATTTGACGTCTTCAATTTTTTTCTCCTAGAGTATTTTTGGGATGTTAAAGTAATACAGAGAAATGATTAAATTATGTACATGTATATAGATAAGCCCACTGCACAAGCTAAGAAATCTCCCTGGAACAAAACTTACCCCTAAATTTTTCCGTGGAAGAAATAGGTAATTTGGGGTCTAGTTTGGTCCCCATGTATTGTATCAATTGAGAATTAATTTAATATTAACGATAATGCTTTAATTTTGTGTCAATTAAGAAAAAGGTGGGACAAGCATATTTTTTGGTAGGGCATGTACTTTTACCATGGTAACCTGTCCGAAGGCAAGTACTGAAAAATTCTATTTGTCTACCCCTGAATTAGGCTTTCATTTATGCATTTACACCGGTGTTAGGATTTTGTCTTAAAAGAAAGAAGAAATAAAATAAACAATTTAAGCCATTACATAGCAACAAAGGAAATCTTAATTCATTGTAAGAAAATATTTCTTAGATTCCAAATACACGTACTTACCTTTGCGTATGATATTTGGTATGTCCTAAATATATTGAAAAAAAAATATTTTCCAAGCATATGGACTACATAAGAATTTGATATTAATGTTCTTTTAGACACGTGATGTTTGCGCCCAGTATGTATGATTCCTACTCGGACAACAGTTTCCCAGGTATAGTGGACACTATGAACGAAATTGAACACCGTAATGCAACCGAAAAGTGGGGAATATTGAAACAACAAGTATATGTAGCCACTTTCACAATACAATCAGCAGCTAATACATTAACTGAAATTGGACTTTGATATTTGTTTTAATCGATTAGATTTTTTTCCTAGAATTTTTTTCATATTAGTAACTGCAGTTTTTTTTTTTTTTTTGTAATACTTATTTCCTACAAATTGTAAAAGTGGAGTTTTATGAATGTTTAACATGATCATGTTTGTGAATTTGCACTTAAAATCACCATAATAAATGTAAAATGTCAATTTTTAAGGTATATTTTGAAATATTTTTCTTTAAAAATTATATGTTTATATTGACTACGATGATGTTTTTACAATGAAGAGAAAGTATTAAAAATCGCTTATGATTGTCGGCCAGTTCTTTTTCTTTTCTGTTTTAAATATGTAGTTTTTACAGAAGTACCGTATATCCGCTTTTTTTGGCGATGATCTAATTTTCGCATTTTTTGCGATCAATTTTAATTCGCAAGAAATAAAGCACGCAGAAATTATATCGGTTATTGTGTGCCACAAAAACGTTACCGTTTTTTAATTTTTTTTTTTAAATCACAAAAAATAACTGACGCAAAATTAAAACTGTACAAATCTACCCTTTTTTCGCAAAATTTGCAATACACGGAAAAAAAAACCCCGGATATATGCTAATATTTATTATGCATATGTCTTAAAGATTTGGCATACAAGTAAATATAAGCGTGTTAAGCAATGCATGATCACTTGCCACAATAATTTCACGTATTCTTCAAGCAACTATCAAACACTTCAATTAAATTTTTTTCTTTATATTTTAGGCAGTTTTCAGCAATATCCCACTTGATTCATAAGAAATTCCTGAAAAAAAAAATCAAAAACAAATTATGCATAATTCTTAACTTGCAGACAAATACAGCGTGTATTTAAATGAAAATCGATTATTAAACTAGAAAATCGCAATTTTACATAACGAATATTGTTTTTGGCCTTCTCAGAGATATTGTTGCTTAAGATCGAAACTTTCTTTTATGTGTTAAACACGCGTTTTTCTGACGCTCTTAAGAAAATCAGAGAAATATTGTTAGATGGACTGTCCAAAACCGTGTTCTGTCGTTAGTGATGATCGTCAGTTGGAGCGAAGAGTTTTTTCCAACATCTTTGTTTTATTATTGATTTATGAACGTACATAGAGCTCTATTGCTAATTTAAATTTTTGTAATTATTGAATAAATACTCTCATAATTGTCCTTTGCAGTATGTCATGTATGTAAAATAAAAATAACAAATGTTTTGTAAAAGGTTGTTTGTCTGCTGAATTTAAAGATTGTAATGAAGAATCTGTGTGTTTATGTTGCTATATTTAATATTATTACTGAAAGAGGAAGTTTGATTGTGTCAAAAACATAAAATGTGTATTTAGTGTTTACATTCCTCGTTAATAGTTTTAGCTTTTTTTGGAATAAATGAGAAAAGACACGTCAAGATTTTCGATGATTTACCTTGTTTTGATATTTCTAGTACATGTGTATCTTGTTGTTCTTTTCCATATGTCCTTTCCTGTTCAAGTGATACAAAGTGACTTTTCAATCACACAAATAGGGCAAATAGGAAGCGCACACAGTATGGAGCATGACGTGATGTATGAAGATCATCACCTTTGAAAGTATCTGCAGTTTTTAGCAGAGCTGACTTTCAACAATAGATAGATTGATTAATTGATTGTACGTAGTTTTACGTCCTTTTCGAAAATTTTTAACTTATATAGAGACTTCACCACATACCGGTGATGGGCTTTAAATATACTTTTTTACTCATTGAGATCATTGAGGGATCGTTATCGTGCCAACGCAAGCCGCAACTTTCATCTCAAAAATGGCGAGCGCAGTTGCTACATATTTTTTATTGACTTGCGCCAGTTGCGGTCGGGGTTTGAACCCACGACTTTCCGATTACGGAGCGAGCGCTTTACTGACTGAGCTACCCAGACGGTCTCCAACAATAGAAGAGTTGCAGTTTAAATTATTTATAAACAACTAGAACATCCAAAGTAACACTATAACAAATAGGGCCAAGGGTGTACGAGGGCTGTTCGAAAATTGAGACAATGACTTTTACTCCACAAAGGACAGAGATAAATTCATGAAAGTTCGTCAACATTTCATAAAGAACAAATAAAACAAGTGTGCAAAATTTCTAATTTATAGGATGATTAAATAGGTTCCGGTGAAATTATAAACAAGCACATGTCTATTGACCTGGAGCAGCATCGCTACGTCATTTTATCGCCTGGTCAGCCGATATTTTCTCATTGTGAAATGATCGGGAATCGTTCAATCTACTTTCTCTGTCATTACATACAACATTCCGAAATTCAAACTGTCTCTTATAATTCTTAAACAATTCTTCAAAAAAAAAAAAAAAAAAAAAAAAATTAAAATAAAACGTGTGCTGTTGCTACTCCAGTGTAAAATATACACGAAGTGTCATATACAGGTTGACTTAGTATCATGCAGTACCCAGTTGTGCAACGTGGGTCAACGTTATTTAGTCCGTAATAATTGATGGTCGTCCGAAGCTTTTGTTTTTACTCTGGTTGAGTAATTTGTGATATAAAATATACCAATGAAAAAATAAACCCATAGACACGTTTTATTGCATTGTTTTTGTTTTAGCAGGTCGTTTAGTCTGGGCAAGAGTTCTCAATACCGCTACACAAAATTTTAGGTATGCTCGCTGCGCCGCCTTGATGTCAAAATCCGTTTTGTCGTCGTTACATGTATCAGATTGCTATACCGCGCTTAAATTTTTTAATGATCTCCGTTTTTCTGATCGAAATTCTAGCAAACTTGCACAAGATGAAGTCAAAATTAAATCGAAAAATTATATACATAATTTGAATTATTTTCTCTCACTATGGATTCACTGGGAGTTTTAGCGTTGGTGTTACAAATTTTCAATATCCAATTTCTAGACTGCGCTGGGTACCCCTACCATTGACACATTTATATACCATTGAAAAGAAGAAATAAAATATTTTAAAAATATTTCTTGCTTTTATTAATTCTTAGTGTTTGTCAAACGTATATGCAAATTTTCACCGAAAAATGTTCATTAGAAAGAAGAATATACACAATGTCTCAATAATTTCCGAACAGCCCTCGTACATGTATACATTGAGGGCATCATGAAAAAGATGACGATAACGAACAGTGAATCCTTTAAAAAAAGTTATTATAATGATCACAGAATTTGCGAAATGCTGACTTTAAACTAGATTGTTGAAAACACTGTAACGTCAATTCATTTGTCAGTAGTGCCTTGGTTTAAAAAGTGATTATACTAAGAACATGCTTATATACCAAATTAGTTGGGAGGCATAAAAGCCAAATGCAGCTGTTTGAGCAAATTTACACAAAGACCATTCATAAATAGGGAGAGTTGAAGATGAAATCTGAGGTTATCTCTTGTCATATAATTGTTATGTCATATAAATGTTTTGCCGAGTTCTTGATTTAGATTATTTTTTTTATTCCTACGAGTAAGGACCCTATTAATGTAGAATATGACAAGAAATAATTAATTTTCATACAAAATTGATATTCACGTACATATTAAACATAAAAGAAAAGAAGGGAAAATATTGTGAAAGAAAATTGTGAAGTTGATCGACCAGTGCTCGTATTTATTATTTTATATACAAAAGGGTAAAATAATAGAAAAGTTGTTTGAATCATTAAAAAAATGGTAACTATAAGTGAACAGGACCATCGGCGGAAAAGCAAATGTCCACCTGATATTTTTTTTTCTCTTTACAAATGAATACGAAAAATTAACCACTTATTTAATATTCATGGAATTCAAATGTAATAAAAAGGATATTGAGATTTATATCAGGTTTACAAACTGTAAAATCTCAATTTTTTTAGTTTTCTGTGTAAATTTTATATCTTTATTGTGGTCTAAGATTGATTCCAAGAGCTAGGATTGTCATACATTCGAATTACCATCACTCGATGGTTACTTGAAAATTGATATGGGAAATAAAAGCTTTGTTGTATTGATAGGGATATCTAAAGTAATAGTCCCTATTAAGTTTTATGGACAGTTTATAGGTTCTAGGAACATAATGGGATAAATATTGTTTATCCCCATTTTCGTCGTTGTATGTACAGTGTGTGATGTCACCCCAATAGATGTGAGTCTCGCCAGAGTTTTCGCCGTGAGCGAATTCAGACCCTCATTTCCTATATTGGTAACGCCACGCCCATTGCGATTTCAGACTAATTCTCATGAATTGTTACGTCTATTTTTTTTAGTAATGGAGATTTGTATAATCCCCATTTATGAAAACTTTTATAAATGAAATATAATTATTCAATAGAGGATTATGCTCATTGTGTAAAATTTATGGATAGCCTATTGATTCGACGACGTTTTATCAATTAACAATAGTTATTTTCCATCGTATGTCAACTTGATATATCCCAGTGAACTCGAAGCGAATGTCAGCACAGAATAGGACACGTCTGTTTCATACTTAGATATTTTATTGACTAAACATGCTAGTGACAAACTCAAAACTTTACGACAAACGCGATGACTTCAGCTTTCCATCGTCAAATTTCCCTATTTATGTTATGAAATCCCAGTATCGTATGCAGATGGTGTTTATGTCTCCTGACTGATTCGGTACACAACAGCATGTTTTGAGTAGATCAATTTCTTAAACCGAGGCAGGCTTCTAAAAAAAAAAAAACAACAAAAAAAAAAAAAAAAAAAAAAAAAAAAAAAAAAAAAAAAGAAGTTACAGGGTTTTTAACTATGTCCTTTAGAGTCAGCATTTCGCAAATTCTATGGTCGTTGACATTCTTCCAACAACAAAAAAAACTTATCGTTGAATCGTATTATCATTGCTAACTTTCATACTAATTCTTAGGTTATTGCTTTTTATACTAATATTGACTTCTGATTATTCCGTTTAACTGATCAATACAGAGGGCTTGTGGCGGGTCTCGACTCTGGTGTTTCCAGGGGTCCGTGTTTTTGTTCTATTCACTTTTGGTATTCTGTATTGGAATCACCTTTAACATTAAAAAAAATAATTATAATTCTTTTTCTCCCATTTTTCCCCATAAAGATAGAACTGATAAAATTTATGTTTTTCAAGATTGATTTCAGATGGGATTGAGGGCTGACTTTGACTTTCAAGAAGTCATATGACCTTTGCTAAAGCTTAGCTTTTTTTTTAGTTTCCTGTAGAATTCCCTGTAATTTGATGCTTTCTTCAGACACTGGAAAGCAATTTTTAGCTCACCTGAGCCGAAGGCTCAAGTGAGCTTTTCTGATCACATTTTGTCCGTCGTCCGACCGTCCGTCCGTCTGTCTGTCCGTCTGTCTGTCTGTCTGTCCGTCCGTCTGTAAACTTTTCACATTTTTGACTTCTTCTCAAGAACCACTGGGCCAATTTTGACCAAACTTGGTACAAAGCATCCTTGGGTGAAGTGAAATTTAAATTGTTAAAATGAAGGGCCAAGTCCCCTCACAAGGGGAGATAATCAAGAGAAGACAAAAATAGGGTGGGGTCATTAAAAAATCTTCTTCTCAAGAACCACAGGGCCAGTAAAGCTGAAACTTATATGGAAGCATCCTGGGGTAGTGTAGATTCTAAATTGTTCAAATCATGACCCCCGGGGGTAGGGCAGGGCCACAATGTGGAATCAATGTTTTACATAGAAATATATAGGAAAAATCTTTAAAAATCTTCTTCTCAAGAACCACTGGGCCAGAAAAGCTGAAACTTATGTGGAAGCATCCTGGGGTAGTGTAGATTTTAAATTGTTCAAATCATGACCCCCGGGGGTAGGGAGGGGCCACAAGAGGGAGTCCAAGTTGTACATTGAAATTAATAAAAAAAAATCTTTTAAAATTCTTCTTCTCAAGAACCACTGGGCCAGAAAAGCTGAAACTTATGTGGAAGCATCCTGCGGTAGTGTAGATTCTAAATTGTTCAAATCTTGACCCCCGGGGTTAGGGCGGGGCCACAATAGGGAATCCAATTTTTACATTGAAATATATAAGAAAAATCTTAAAAAATCTTCTTCTCAAGAACCACTGGGCCAGAAAAGCTGAAACTTATATGGAAGCATCCTGGGGTAGAATAGATTCTAAATTGTTCAAATCATGACCACTGGGGTAGGGCGGGGCCATAATAGGGAATCCAAGTTTTACATTGAAATGTATAAGAAAAATCTTAAAAAATCTTCTTCTCAAGAACCACTGGGCCAGAAAAGCTGAAACTTATATGGAAGCATCCTGAGGTAGTGTAGATTCTAAATTGTTCAAATCATGACCACTGGGGTAGGGCGGGGCCATAATAGGGAATCCAAGTTTTACATTGAAATGTATAAGAAAAATCTTAAAAAATCTTCTTCTCAAGAACCACTGGGCCAGAAAAGCTGAAACTTATATGGAAGCATCCTGGGGATGTGTAGATT